CTTAGAATGCCTGGAACTAACTGTTGGTAGAAATATGGACGGCAGATGCTTATGGTAAGGGCTCACAGAAAATGAGACATAGATGGGAAACTTAAATAAAGGTTCATGATCCCTTCCAGGCATCTCTCCAGCCTCTAGATGCCATTGCCTTCCATCTCCGGTGTCAGGAAAATCTCCCCCTGCTTTTCTCTTAAAAGGATGCCTGCGATAATCCAGATAATCCAGGATAATCTCTTCAACTCAAAATGCTTAATCACATCTGCAAATCTTTGCCACATAAATAACATTTAGAGGTTCCAGGAATTAAACCTGATATCTTTAGGGCCATATTTAGGCTATGACGAAGTTCAGATTTGAAATCAGAGCACATGTGAGTGTGAATCTCCATCTGAGGAGATAGGTACATTTCTTAGTTCCTAGGGAGGAGCAATGCCTGAGGTACCGCAGCTTTGAGGCTTTGTCTTATGGGAGAAAGTCTGATTCTGTGCCCCTCGTGGGAACTCTGGGTATCTCAGATGTCCATGGTTGTGCAGGGATCATTGTCACCTCCCTGAAACATTAAGAGGAGAATAATAGACATGGGCGATACCTGAGAAACTGTATATTCTTCTTTAGACATTGTCCCTTTTGTCTCACCAAGCACTAAAATTATTTCCTGGAGCACAGGAGGAAGGTAATTTTGTCAGTAGTGAGTTTTCAGGAGGAGTTTGCTTCAGGGTCAGAGGCCTTCATGAGGGCTCAGGATTAGTGCCACAGCCAGCCTGGGTCTGAGGTGTTCTCCAGGATGAGGCAACAATGGGCATACATATGGACAAAAATGAAACTGAAAGGAAACTATGGCCAGAAAAGATCACTCTCCTCAAAATCCCAGTGTGTGGTGTTAGTAGATTTAGGTTTAGTAACTAGATTTAAATCCAGTTTGTAGCTCTAAAGAAATCAAAGGATATTTTAAAAGGAGGGAATAAATCTCGACTTATAGTCAAGTGATTTTATGTTTTTAAAACTTACTCTCACATTTGTAAATTAAAGAAAATGTGCTTCTTTTGCCTCATTTCCACTGTGATGGAATGGACAAAATGAGGTGATAGATGTGGAAATGTAATTTATAATAGAAATAGAATGACATTACAAAATTCTGATAAATCCAGAATTATGTCTATGTCTCCCACTTGCTGTGTAGAGAAGAAAGTTTCTGGAGTTCTCAGGGCAGCGTGTACCTAGGAAGAGGGACTAAGTCAGAAAAATCGTTCAGGTAGAATAAGCAGAAGCTTGAATCTCTAATAGGGGTTCAGGTAAATAAAGAGTCTGTTCATTTTGGAACTCAGATGAGGGACTACATGGAAACAGTGAAGAGCTTTGTTTCCTTTTTGATCAAAGAAACTGAAAATTAAAGAAGCTGTGTTGAGTTTGGGGATAGAAATAAGGCAATGGGTGAAACCAGAAGGAAACCAGAGAGAACTTGGTTCTTAGCTCTGAATTGATATTTCTTTCCGAGAATTGCTATTTTCTTCCAAGGGCTGCCCGAGCAAAGTGCGACAGACTAAACGATGTGAACTCCAGAAACATATTGTTTCACCCTTCTGGAGACTAGAAGTTCAAAATCAAGGCATCATCAGAGCTATGTTTCCTCTGAAACCTATAAGGCAGGGTCCTTTCTTGCCTCTTCCAGCTGCTGGGTACCCCAGATGTTTCTTGTAACAGCGACACACCAATCTCCATGTCCATCTCCGCAAGATCACTGGTGACATAGGATTAGAGGTCCACCCTACCACAGCACAACACAATCCTAACTAATTACATTGGCAATCACCCTATTTATAAACAACATCACATTCTAAGGGGTGGGGGGAGGTAGTGATTTCAACATATCGACTTAGAGGAAGACATTTCAACCCAGTAAGTACCCTATCATCTCATGAACATCATTTCTTCGAAATCTTGTCTATGTCCTTGAAGCTGCTTCATCTTGATTGGGTCAAAGAAGCAGCAATTGACAAGTCAATCTAAATCTCCCATGCTCATTATGGAAAGCTGTGTGGAGGTTCCTCAAACTGCTAAAAATGGATCTTCCTTATGATTCAGCAATTCCACTCCTAGGTATCTACCCAAAGGACACAAAAACATTAATTCAAAAGGACACCTGCACTCCTATGTTTATAGCAGCACTATTTACAATAGGTAAGCTATGGAAACAACCCAAATGCCCAAAAACAAATGACTGGATCAAGAAGATGTGGGACATATACACAATGGAATATTACTCAGCAATCGAAAGGCATTATAATAAAGTGAAAATCAAAATCAACAGGCAACTATAAACCAGAGACATTCTGTGGGGGCCAAGGGGAGGGAGTAGGATCAAAACAGGGGTGGGAAGAGCACAAGGGACTATGGTGATGGTCACCGGTGAATGGGTGGTGGGAATTTCACCGGGACTATAACCAAGATGAGAAAGCATACATTGTGCAAAAATGAATAACAATGTAAAAATACATATAAAATAAAAAATATAGAAAATAAATAAATCTCCCATGCTTTGCTTCCCTACTCCATGAACTATTTGTGAAAGGCAGCAAGACTGATCTGAGGTCTAATTCAAGGCTCCCAGGGCTCCGATTTGTAACTTAGAAGTTACCTTTGAAGTTCTGTTTGACAAAGATGTCATCCCATCATTTTGAACAAAAACATGTAATTAATATATCTAAAAATCTCTCAGGAATGACCCCATTCCTGAGCCAAAGTCCTGACTCATATTTGACCTGAAATATCAAGAATCAATCTATCTAGGTAGGTCTTGGTTGATAGAGACAGTTCAAGGTGCCAGAAACAATAGTTATGGAGGGATAGGTATACCTGGGGATTCGGTTGAGGTCAAATCAGGAAGGATTTTGAATGCCCGATGGGAGAATGTCAAATCAAAATTTAAGAATCAAGGCGAGTTTAACCTAAGAATGGAGTCAACAAAATCGACCTTTAGTAAAGTCACAGAAACAGGGTGTGGGATCAGAGAAGACCCTGGAATTAAGAAGACAAGCTAATGGGTATATAAAGAAAAATCCTGGAAGGAGAAAACAAGAATTGAACTGGGTCAACATTTCTGGAAGAAGATAATGGGGATTAGAACCAGGGACCCCCCCAGGAGGGGCAAAGGGGAATCCTAGCCCTGAAATACCTTCAGGTGAACCCACTCAGCATGGGCCCTGTACTTCGCTCCTCACTGCTGGAGGCCAGGAGCAACGGTACTCAAAAGCTCATCCGGAATATTAGAAGCCTGGAAGTTGGGGAGTTTGGATTTTAGGACATTTAGCTTACAGATAAGATATCCCATAGTGTCTCCTTATCACTCAAGGACCAGTTATTGAAAGGTGAGCAAATGTAAATCAGCTCAGTAGAGATTTGGTCATGACTGATGATCCAGGTGGATCCAGGCAAAGGGCCCTAGAGCAGGGGTGAGAAATTTGCTTTCACTTATTACTGACCGACCAGCGGCCTCTGATGTGCCACTTGTCTCGGGATCCAGTTTCCTCATACATCAAACTGAACGTGTGAGTGAGACATACACTTCTAGTTGCTTCCCTGCCACTCACTCCTGGGTGGGGTCCTTTAACCCTCACAGCAGTCTTGAGTAGAGGATACTATTGTTACCCCAGCTTTACCAATAAGAACACAAAGACACAGAGTGATCACTGTGTAGGGGCGAGTGGGGCACACCTGGGCACTGCACGCAATGGTCTCTGTCACTTCGTTGCTTAAGTCCAGTCACTGGTTGAACTGAGACTGGAGAGAGAGGCCAAAGAGCTGAAGAAGATGTAGGTCTCTCACCAAAGGAGTCTTCTGATGGCTGCCTCAATGCCTGGGGCCCACCCAGCTGGGTAGGTATCAAGCCAGGGATCGCAGAGCTTTGAGAAGAACCAGAAATCCCAGCTAACACAAAAAGCGCTCACAGGAATCCAACCCTGAACAAAGCTTTGGTTCAAAAGCAGAGAAAGTCTTGGATGTGAATGGGATAGAGGCTGGGCAGTGCCCGAGCTGAATAGACATGGGCTAAGAACTGATGGGGATGAAGTTATCTCAGTCAAGGAGGGGGTTTAGGGAAGTTGCGGTGGCCTGAAAAACCAGCAGGTGGCAGATGGGAGGGGAGGCTGGGCGACGTGTGCCTCTTTCTCAGCCCCAAAATGTCTCCAATACAACGACTGCCTGTTGGTCCCCACTAGGCTCGCACAATAAATTGCTTGGTGGAGTCAAAGAGGAGCAAAAATGCTCGCAATCATAGACAGAAAACGGAGTCCTGGCCCCGGGCGGGTCTCCCCGACAACGTAGCATTGAGAATGTGCGCCCGCGTGTGCTACCCCTGCGTCGACAAGTCCTCTGGGGGCGGGGAGGGGGTCAGGCTGCTGGGCAACGTGTCTGAGACACCCACGTCCCCCAAGCCGTGGGCTATTGACTGCCGGTCGCTTCCAGAAGGTGGAGAAGGCACTGCGGACTCCAGAGAGTTCGGCATCCGTCTACACCCGCCAGAATGCACGCGGCTGCAAGTGTGGGAAGCCCGGGAGCCCTGAACCCGCGCGGCCGGAGGCCGGCAGTGGGGGGGGCGGGGGCGGGAAGAGCCTGGGAATGAGTGGAGGGGTGGAGGACTGGGGGGGTGGGGGGGTAAAAAGACGGAGGACGAGGGGGAGGAGGAGGAGGGGAGGAGAAGGGGAGGAGGAGGGGAGGGGAGGAGAGGGAGGGGAGGAGGAGGAGGAGGGGAGGAGGAGGAGGAGGGGAGGAGGAGGAGGAGGAGGGGAGGAGGAGGAGGAGGAGGAGGAGGGGAGGGGAGGAGAGGGGGGAGGGGAGGAGGAGGGGAGGGGGAGGGAAGAGAGGGGAGGAGGGGTGGGTTGAGGGGTGCGGCAGGTGCACGCGGTGGATTGGAGCGCGCTCTGCGACCTCGCCCCTGCGCGGGCTCAAAAGGAAGCGCGTTCCCGGGCGTCCCGGCAGCCCCGGACCCAGCCCCAGCCCCAGCCATGACCCCGCGGCTCTGGGCCTCCTGTCTCTTCCCGCTGTTCCTGGGGGGCTTCGCTCAGCTGACCCCGGAGCCGCAGAAGACGAAGGTGAGTGTCCCTCTGGGAAGCGGAGTGACTGCCCGGTCGCGGCCGCAGGAGTTGCGTCTCCTCTTCCTGGAGGACGTGTCTCCCGCCCGGGAAAGGCCCGTTCTGCAAACACCTGCCCCCGCGCCGCCGGGGGGCCTCCCGCCGCGCCCCCCTGAGCTCGGCCGCTCCCCCACCCGCCCCGGCGGCCGCTCCCGGCGCGAGCCTGACCCGTCCACGCGGGTCTGGAACTTGGGGCGACCTGTGGATTCCGAGAAATCCGCGGGGAGTAGCGAATAGCTGGGGGGGGGGGGCTAGTGCGTGGATCGCGGAGCCCCCCCCCCAGGGAAGGGAGAAGCGATGCTGGGTGGGCAAAGGCGTTTCTTTGAACATCTCCGCAGAGGTTAGGAATTGCTAGTTCTGTCATCACCCCATCCTCGGCGCTTTCTGCTGCCTTCCAGGTGGACTGCTACAAGGGGGTGGCAGGCACCATCTACGAGTACGGCGCCCTCACGCTCGGCGGCGAGGAGTACGTCCAGTTCCAGCAGTTCGCGGGCAAGCACGTGCTCTTCGTCAACGTGGCCACCTTCTGAGGCCTGACCCCCCAGTACGTGGGTAAGAACGCGCGCCGCGACTGGGCCGGCTCTGGCCCGGGCTGTGTTCTGGTTTCACCGCGTCTAGCTGATCAGATATTGGGAAGAAGGGGGTGGGGGGCAGGGGTAAATGCCCATTTTGCATTTTCCTCACATTTAAAAAAAAAAAAATCAATCAAGGCTTTACTAAGGAAGGCAGTGGCATGTAAATCTGATTTTTCTTCGGAATCAAACAGGACAGGGGCCTGCGCTTTTTATAAAGCCTTCTAGTAGACAGAGAAGTGGAGTCACTAATAGGAATTGCTGCACGCGAAAAACAGCAGCTATTTGGACTTAGCTCTGGATACTACCTCTCCACAGTCCTCAATTTATTCCCGTGACAAAGGGAGACACCCAGCGGTCTGCCTCTGCTCAAGGCAGGGCTGCCCGCCACCTGCCCACCGGGCTCTCTCTACTGCAGAACTGAATGCACTACAGGAGGAGCTGAGAGCTTTTGGAGTCGTGGTGTTGGGTTTTCCCTGCAACCAATTTGGAAAACAGGAGCCAGGAAAGAACTCGGAGATCCTTTCTGGGCTCAAGTGAGTACCGCTTGGGACCCTGCAGGGACCCTGTCAGGAGTTTTCTTCCCTGTTCTGCCCAGATGCCCTCTCATTCGGGAAACTAGAACATCATCATGATGCTTTGGATTCTGCCCTGCCCTACTAGTGTGCTCAAGTGTCCTATCTGAGTTTTTTGATGCTGAACCTGGGGAACATCTAACAGAAAAGCTCAGAGGAGGGCCTCCCTGGTGGCGCAAAGGGTTAAGTTGCAGCTCTATGAAGCTATCTGCAGCAGGAGTTCAATCCCCAGGCAGGGAGCTACACATATGGCACAGCAGACCTCTCCTGACTCACCCACTGCTCCCCTCAGCAGTGTGTTTCAGTCTGTCTGCACCCCAGTTCTTCTATGCATAAATAAATCTTTAAAAAAAAAAAAAAAAGGAAGCATAGGGGAAAGGAGGACTGTAGGAAATAGAAATTAACCAGGAATAATTTAAGGAATCCTTATTTATTGCCTTCTAATTTTCTTGGAATTCTCTTTTGGCTCCATCAAGCCTATAAACAAAGTCCTGATTACCAGGGACCTCTCTTTCATTACCTTCCCTGTCTATCTTCTCCCCCTCTTTAGCTCTGGTTTCCTTTTGTGGTGACATTGCCTCGGCCTTTACTAGCTGTTCTTGTCTTCATTTGGATCCTCTTAGAAGTGTTCTGGTTTGCTGCAGGTACGTGCGTCCAGGCGGTGGCTTCGTTCCCAATTTTCAGCTCTTTGAGAAAGGGGACGTGAATGGAGACAAAGAACAGAAGGTCTTCACCTTCCTGAAGGTCAGTGTGTATAAGAATGGATGAGTCAGGTCAGGTGAAAGAGAGGCCCTGAAGGCCTGGGGCTCTAGTCTGGGGTTGGGGTTGGCCTCCTTGGACAGAAGTGCTCAGATAAGTGTGAGGATTGTGCACTATCTCCTGTGAGCCATTATCTCAGTGGAGAAACTGTGTAACATTAGGACAGCTCTAACATTATCCATCAGCCATCCCTCCAACCCTAGCACGTGCAAGGAACTGTGCTCTCCAATGAGTTAGCAAACTCATCGCTTCCTGTCCAGCCTCCTTGAGCTGAGACCAACCCATACTGTCAACAGGGCTCAATCTCTTCCCTGAAGGAACTCATATCATATCAGGGAGGCAAACATAGAAATAGATAATGCAGAGTGTCCTGTGGGGATTGACTTCGAGTCGCAGTGTTAGAACAAAAAACCAGTGTAGAAAAAGCCCCAGGATCTCTTAGTCCACTATTTCCCAAATGCTGGTTTGCAACAAACTCAGTCCCGGTGGAAACTTGTACCCATCCATGGCCAGCAGGTGGTTTGGGGGAGTTTTTCACAATATTGAACTTATTGAATAGAAAACACCATCATTCACCATGACTAAGTTAATACTGGGCTATGTATGCCATAAACATTGCCATTTTATCACACAAAGTGGTGATATCTTCAATTTTATGTTCTTCCACAAACTTCTGAATCTGTAGTTGGAGTAGGCTTGATTTTTCTTGTGAAAATGAATGTTTTTTCCTCTACATTAACCTCCAAAAAGTAGCCAATGAACTTTTGCTGACCAATGAAGCACTATACTCTGGGAACCACTACTCTAAACCAAGCCTTTTTTTTTTTTAAGCTAAGGAAACTGAAGCACAGAGCAGCTATGCCGACCAAAGAGAGCAGAAGACAATGCTTTTCTGAGGCGCTATACCATAATCATGGGCCAGGGGGGCAGACAGAGAGGGCAGGTGCTGACTAGCACACACTCTCAGGTGCCTGAGGACGCCCTCGGAGCAGGTCAGGCAGTTCACACATTGAGATTACATAACGGTGAGGAGCCTGTCTGGGGCAGGGCTAAGACTGGCCACACAGAAACAGCCCAAAACTTGTCCTCTCTTTCCTATGTCTGCTCCAGAATTCCTGCCCTCCCACCTCCGATCTGTTGGGCCCATCAGACCGCCTCTTCTGGGAGCCCATAAAGGTCCACGACATCCGCTGGAACTTTGAGAAGTTCCTGGTAGGGCCCGATGGCGTGCCTGTCATGCGCTGGTTCCATCAAACTCCTGTCAGCAGCGTCAAGTCCGACATCCTCGAGTACCTGAAGCGGCTCAGCTGAGCCCCAGCAGGGCAGAGGCAGCCGGCCTGCCTCCACCTGAAGAGCTTGCTTTGGAGAAGGTCCGGCTCTGTTACATCCCTTCCTGTGCAGCCTCCCTGAGCTGAGACCAACCCATATTGTAATGCCCAAGTGTGTGTATGTGTGTGTGCGCGCGCACGCATATGCCTTTGAAAATTAGGGGAACAAAAGATTATCCCCCCAACTTTCTGATCATAAAATACCAAGTTTTTCCTACCCTATTCCAAAGGAAAATCATGTATCAGGGTTCAGACTCTCCCATGCCCCTAAAAAGGCAGTTCCCAGAAGCCCTGACATCTGTCCTTTCTCTGTCCTGAAGGCTAAAGACAGCAGAAACTGGCAACAGTCTCTCAAGTTTCCCTTCTGTCAAGTAACCACTTCTCTCCACCAGAGGCACATGTTGTAAAACCCCCTCCCTAGGTAGCTCTGCTGGTCCCTGACACCTTAGCTCTCTTCTAGGCTCTCTGAAGACAGAGTGAGACCAGAACCCTCGCTTCACCCAGAGGAGGGGCATCTCCATGATGGTGGGTCACAAAGCCCTCTGGGTCAGACCCTATCAGAGCCTCCCTGTGCCAGGCCCTTTGGTGCATTCAGGTCATGGCATGGGGCAGGGATGTCCCTTCATTCTGAACGACGGGATTTCTCCTCACCTGGAGCCTTCCCAGCTTTAAACTCATCACAGTCTCAAATTAAAATTTTCTGCAGCAACTGGTTTCTGGTGGTGCTTTCCCGCCCCATGTTGTATCTGGAGTCTCACTCTATCTCTGCTTCCTGTCTCCCTCGACCTGATCTTAAGTATTTTGTTTTTCTCAAAAGTGCTCTAGACCTTTCCTCTAAGTGGGATGGGTGTCGGGGAGCTGCTTAGTTGGCCCTTGGGACCCTCCCATTCAGCTCTCTTGGGAGGTTCTTATATGAAAGAAATTTTTGCTTCTCAAAGAGACAACAACAAATACATGTTTCTTTTCATAAAAGTGACGCATGCTCACTGTTAAAAATCGAAAAGCACATGAAAATAGAAGAAAAGGATCACAAAATCCACTTGTCCATGGAGGCATAAATAACCTGCTAAGAAATCCCACCTGGTCCATGTGGCTTTATCAAGATTAGTCTTTTATAAGGAGATCAATTTCAGAAAATCAGAAACTAAAGGAAGAGAAGATGGAATAAGGAAGTGAAGAGAAATAGCTGTTTTTCTTTCTTTCTGCTAATTATTTTGAACACTGATATTTGCATTTCAAATAGTTTTGTATTTCAGAAGTGCAAGAAATTTAAATATCAGCAACGAATGCCAACAGTTACAATCCTGTTATATGCCCAGATAGAAATGTGACTGCTGACATAATGTTTATACAGCAACACGGAGATTGACAAGCCAAGCCAGAAATGACCAGGAAAGAGATTCTTAACACTCTAAAGTGGAAAATATTCTTTAAATATTTGAAAGTTTTGTAACAGGGTGGTCCCCAGGAAAGGAGGAGGTTCCCTGCCCCACCCAAGGGAGGGTGGAGCTGAGCAGGAAGAGGAGAAGCTGCAGAGGAGACTGAGGAAGGAAGCAGGATGGAGCCAGGAGACCTGGAGGAGGTGCATGGAGCCTAGAGACATGTGAAGAAACTGCGCTTGTCTTTTGGTCGTGGACTGGGTGACACAGATGTGGGTGAGACCCGTGGGGAGGTGACAATGGCAGCTTTTATCTTGATGTTGATTTTGCTCTTTTCCTTCCGGGCTTGTCCGGTTGTTTGTGACCCTTTTCTGTGGGTCCCCACTGGAAGATGTTTTAGACTTGTGGCAGGCTTTGGGGCCTTGCTCTGGGCCGATCCCATATGGATGGAGTTTTACCCACGAGGAGATGGGTAACTTTGGGTGCTTCATTTAGAAACTAGACTCTTTGCCTTACCTGTATTGTTTCCTAGTTTTTATTAAAGTTCCTTCCCATTAAAGTGTCATATGTTTTGTGTTGATGCGGCGGATGGCAGAACCCATTTAGAATAGGCAGGTTTGCGGGGTTTGGGCTGCCCCTCTCCCTGTCCTATAACAGTTTCAGTTGCTTGAACTCAAAAATCTAGTAAAAAAAAAAAAAAAAAAAGGGCTTCTTCTAAACCTGGCTGTCTCTGGCAGTAACCATAGGGTACGAGACTTCCAGAAGTCTTCAACCAAGCACTACGGCGGTGGTGAGGGCAGAGAGGGGGTTACAGAAGCAGCTTCTGGTAGTCTTGAGAAATACATTTCATTTTTCAGCTTCTTCTAAACCTCTGAAATTCTCGAGAACCTCAGGGACAGTAACCTTTCTCAGAAGCGTTCCAAATCTATCACTATCTTCACATTTGAATAACCAAAGCCAAAGGAAGTCCAGGAAGTGCAGAGGATGGGATGACACAATGTATAAAGGTCTCCAGGCCTAAACCAGGTAACTGCAATACTCAAGAGAACAAACTCCAGGGGACTATGTATGCCCCACTCCCCACCTCCAGCTCTGCAGAAAAGTCCTAAGGTAAAGAAGGGAGTACAGCTTCCCCCAGGCCTCACTCCTGCTGCTGCTGTAAACAACAGCTATTCCTGATTCCCTCAGCGGCTGACCCTGAAGGGAAAACAGGTTTTGTGGAGAGCCAAGACTGGGGAAGTGAGAACCAAATTTGTCTGCACCTGGATGTGAGTATAGGTGAGGAATGGGTGTGGGAGGAGGGGTCCTGGTGGTATACTGCAGATGAAGACAATGGTGACATAATAACAGTCTTCATAAAGAGGCACCAAGAGATAAAGCTTTCCAGTTCTGCTCTCTTCACCAATCCCTGTAACAGATCTTACTCCCCTGCACAGGGAAAAGCTACACAGAAAAACTTCTGGAAGGGGCAGATCTCCAATCTATTAGAACTGCTAAAACCTTACTATTATTATCATGCTGATAGTCTTCATTAGCATCACTGCAGCACTATTATTGCTGCAGAATTCTTTCTTTATGCCAGAGGTTCCCACTACCTATCATACAAAGTACATAAACTTCATTCCAAAGTCATTGCTTTCACATGAACCTACTACTCTACAAACCGCTTAACAGACATCTAAAATCATGATGGTGCAGATTTCGAGACCCTTGAGGAGAGTCCCTCAGCAGGGCCCGCAGCCTGCTCCATGGCGCCCCACCGTGGCCTTACTGTGGAGATGCAATTACCCTCCCAAGGACTGGGTGGGCACTCACGCTTCTTGGGCTTTGAAAGGGCTGTGCTTGTTCTGGAGGCTGGATTCCCAAATCTGGGCACCTGGCTGGCCAAAGTCCATCCTGAAGCACGTGAAATCCTGCTCCCGTGGTCATGTTAGCCAGCGACCAAAGGGTACCCTGGGATCTCCACACTCGCACGCTCTGAATGTGTCCTGCCATCCATGTGCACAAAGAAAATGCAGACTCTTAGTGTGAAAGCTCTTTAACAGAATTAGTGTGCAAATTTTAGGAGAGGTTCCATGTTCCCCACCCCCACTTACCGAGGGGTGGAGCTGAGACCTCAAGTCAAGCTCTCTAACACTAAAGGCTCTGGACTCAGGGAGAGGCACATGGAGAAGGGAGCTGCTTCTTGGCTTTGGACTTGCACCAGGAACTTGGGGGACATGGAAAGAGACATGTAGAGGAGAGACATGTAGAGACACTTGAGGGAGACACATGCAAAGGCTGACAATGGCGGCTTTTCTCTTGATTTGTACTTTGATTTTGCTCCTTTCATCCCAGACTTGCCTGGCCCCTTCTGCCCCTTTCCTCTGGGTCTGCACCAGATGGGGCCTTAGACTTGTGGCAAATTTTGGGGCCTCAGCTGCCCTGCATCCAGTGACCCTCTTTGGCCAGGCACTGACTCACAAGGGGATGGGTAACTGGGTGTTTTATGGGGACACTAATATCTTTTCTTCTCCTCTCTCTAGGCACACTAATTCAAGTTCTTTCATATTAAAAGTCTGCTTTGCCTTTATGCACATGGATGGCCAGATCCTTTTAAAGCGTGCAAATTTGGGGGTCCCAGGGGGTCCCATGGTGGTTGTGTATTAACACATAAAGACAAAAGAGATTTTCAATACTATGTTGGGTAGTAGTGGCACTAGTGGACACCCCTGACTTGTTTCTGATCTAAATGGGAACATTTTCAGCTTTTACCACTGAGTATGACGTTGTCTGTGAGTCTGTCAAACATGGCCTGTATAAGGTTTAGGTAAGTTCCATTTATTCCCATTTTATGAAGTTTTATCACAAATGGATATTGGATCCTGTTGAATCCTTTCTCCACATCTATTGAGGTGATCATGTGATTTTTGTCTTCCTCTTTGTTGATCTGGTGAATGACCTTGGTTGATTTGTGTCTGCTGAACCAGCGTTGCCTGCCTGGGTGGGAGGCTGCTTGGTCATGGTGGAGGAGTCTCTTGAAAAATTGCTATATTTAGTTTTTTAGGATTTTTTGAGTAATTTTACATCTGTGTTCTTCAGAGATATTTAGTTTTTGGGTTTGGGTTTTTTTTTTTTTTTTTTTTTTGGGTACTATTTTTGGTTTGGGGACCAGGGTAATATTGACCTCATAGAATGTGTTGGGGGGGTTCTCCCTCCTTGATTTTCTGAAGAGTTTAAATAAGGTAGGTGCTAGATCTCCTTCGAAGATTGGGTAGAGTTCATTGGAGAAGACATCTGGTTTTGGGTTTTTGTTCTTAAGGATACTTTTTTACTACTCTTGATTTTATCACCTCTCATTGAATTGTTTAAGCTGTCTAACTCCTGATTCAGTCTTGGGGGTTGTACAAGTCTAAAAATGTGTCAGTTCCTTCTAGATTGTCCATTTTGTTTGCATAAGGATTTTTGAAATAGGTTCTTATGATCCTATGTATTTCTGCAGTGTCTGCTGCAATTTTACCTCCTTCATTCCTGATTATTGATTTGGGCTTTCTCTCTTCTTTTCTTTGTAAGCCCAGCTAATTAATGGCTTGTCTATTTTTGCTTATTGTTTCAAAGGACCAGCTCTTGGTTTCTGATCTTTGGGTTTCTCTTTTTGTTTTCTATTTCATGTATTTCTGTTCAAATTTTTATTACTTCTTTCCTTCTACTGGTTTTAGATTTTTTTTTTTTCTTTTTTATCCTGGTTTTTTCAGCTGCCGAGCTAATTTTCCTTCCTTCCTTCCTTCCTTCCTTCCTTCCTTCCTTCCTTTTTTCTTTGTTTTAAAATTTGGGCCTGTATCACTCTAAGCTCCCCACATAATACTGCTTTAGAGTATCCCATAGGGTTTGGTAGCTTGTTTCTTCTTTTCTATCTTTTCATTGATTTCTTCATTGACCCAGGAGTTGCTCAGAAGCATTTTTTTTTTAGTCTCCACATGGTTTGGCTTACTCCGGGGTTCTTTTTGTTATTAATTTCTAGTTTTATAACATTGTGGTCTGTGAAGATGTTTGACATAATTTCTATTTTTGTATATTTTCTGAGACATGTTTTATGAGATATTGTGTGACCTATTGAGACTGTTGCAGATGCACTTGAGAAAAAAGTGTGTTCATTTCTTGAGAGATGGAAAGCTCTATAAATGTCTAATAAATCCATCAGTTCTAACTCCTCCCCTCAGAAGTGTATTTCTGGCAATCATCCACCTGTTCTGTTCCCCACTCTGTTTCTGGTGGATCCTCCCAACCCCCACCCCCCACACCACTTCTTGTATGCATAAATAAATAAATCTTAAAAAAGAAAATACAAAAAAAGGCCAGGGTCTCCCTGGTGGGGCAAGAGGTTAATATGCAACCTGTGAAGCTATCCGCAGCCACTGCAACATGAGTTCCATCCCTGCCAGGGAGCTACCCACATGGCGCAGCAGACCTCTCCTGTCTCTCCCTGCTACTCCCCTCAGCAGTGTACT